CCTTTAATCCACCCCTAAATAGAATCTATGTTCTTTATTGTTAAAAGACTTTATGAGCTAATAATTGAAACACGTAGCCCCTCTCCCATTTACTTGTATGTAACACATTTTCAATAAAAACGCACAATAATTCCTAGCAGTTGTCACTCCTCAGAGAGCGATCTTTTTTTTTTTTTGGAGAGATTTTCACTGTAGGGCGCGTGCGCTCGCCAGATAGACAGAGAGATACATAGAGACAGAAAGTGAGAAATCACCCCCCAGGGGGGATGGTCACGCTGCAATCCCTTCTCCTCCATTCTCCTCTCGGGATCTTGGGCATGCACACACACGCGCCCGGCATGAGTTTTAAGCCACCGGGTCCGGGACACGAACTGCGGTCGACTACGTGGGAGTCCAGCGACATAGCCATTACGCTAACTGCTGGTTCCCAGAGAGCAATCTTTGAGGGGTGTCCGGCATAGGACGTGCATAAAAAAGCATGGAGGCCTCTGTCTTCTGTTCACTTTCGCCGCCTTTGTCGAGACAACCCACCCACGCCGAGGCTGGACCCCGGCACACATGCCCTATAGCAAAAATGTCTCTCTAAAAAAAAAAGCAAACATTTCTCTACATGTGTGGCAAAATAGGCCAATCTGACATCTTAGTGGTAGATTTCAACATATTTCTCTTCAATAATTGATAAATTAAATAGACAAAAAACCCCAGTAAGAATGTAAAAGATCTGAATAGCATAGTTTATTAGCTTAGCCTAACAAAATATATAAAAATTTATTGAACAAATGCAGTAAACATCCTTTTCAAGCATATATGAACTATATACAAGTGATCATATACTAGGCCATAAAAGAAGTCCCAGTCATTTAAAATTCATATGGATTATAGTATCTAAACATGGTTCAATGAAGTCAATAAAAAGTGCTAACAAAAGATAAGTGGAAAAAACTCATATATTTGACAATTGTAAAACACAATTCTAAAATGACTAATGGGTCAAAAAGAGCAAAACAAATTTTTAAATATTTATAACTGAACAATAATAAAAATGTCACAGATTGATGCTTGAGGTTTACAGCTGAAGCGGTATTTAGAGAGAAATTTTTACTCTTAACTATTTATGTCAGAAAATAAGAAAGGCCAAAAATGAATGAACTAAGCATCTAATTAAATTAAAATAAACTAAAACAAGACAAACTCAATGAAAACAGAGACAGGAAATAGTGAAAATAAAAGTAGAAATTCATGGAGAAAATAAACACAATCAAGATGATAAAAAAGCTTAGTTCAGGGTCAGCAGGTGGCATAGTGCTTAAGGCACTGGACCCCCACATGGCCAGCCGAGATTCAAGTCTCAGACCTGGAGGCTTGCTTTCTCCATTTCCCACTCTCTCTCTTTAGTGAGTACCTGTGCCCTATAGCAAATTAAATAACAATAATAATAAATAAAATTAAAAACATAATTCTTTTAAAAGGCTACTAGTTGTTTGGCTTGAACAATGCTAACAGATATATTTAATATATTAACTACTGTTAGGATTAAAAGGGAAGACTTAATCATGGAGGCTACGTGACAATATATAAATAAGTAACAGTATAAACAATTTTATCCCAGTAACATTTAAAATTTAGATGAAATAGACAAATTCTTAAAGATATCCATTAAAGATTACAACATACACATTATATTGTACAGGTACATAGCTTTTGAAATACTAACTATTGGAACCAGCAGTTAGCTTAATGGCTATTTCGCTGGACTCCCACGTAGTCGACTGCGGTTCGTGTCCCGGACCCGGTGGCTTGAAACTCACGTCGGGCGTGTGTGCGTGCGTGCCCAAGATCCCGAGAGGAGAATGGAGAAGGGATTGCGCATGGCCATCCCCCCTGGGGGGTGATTTCTCGCTTTCTGTCTCTCTGTCTCTCTCTCTCTCTGTCTGGCGAGCGCACGCGAAAACCTATAGCGAAAACCTCTCCAAAAAAAAAAAAAAGAAAGAAAGAAGGAAATACCAACTATTGGGTTTTCAGAAAAGTCATGATGCATTTTTGCATAGAAAAATATGTCATGACTTTTCTGACAAACTAATAGAAAAACCTTACTATCTATAATCCTTTTTTAGGATAAAAAATATTTCTATGTAAAAAAGACAAAACATGGTTTTACAGGCAAATTCTACCAAAACTTAATATTCTAGGTACCAGTAAACCTGATCTTAGACAGATAACTCCAAAACCTGATCTTATAAGAACGACTACAACTCCCTTTTTGCAGTTAGCCTAAATTTGATGCTAAAACCTGACAAGGATAAAAGAACCAAGGAAAATAATCTGTTTTCACATGAACATAAATGTGAAGTTCTTTAAAAAATAAGCAAACTGAATTCATGAAACAGCTAATTTAGCTTATCAAGTTGGTCTTATTCCAAGAATACAAGGTTAGTTTAACATTTAAAAATGTCAATTAATATAACAAAAACAGATCAAAGGAATAAAATCACATTATCACCTCAGTAATTATACAAAAAAGCATTTGATAAAATTCAGTATCAATTCATAATTTAAAAACAAACTCTTAGCAAATTAGAAAGGAGGAAATTTCCTTAATCTATTAAATACTACCTCCAAATAAATATGTCACAAACATAATTCTTAATGGTACAACACTGAAAGAACTTTATTCAACTGTATTGATATTCCTAGCTAGTACAATAAGGAAGTTAAAAAAAGTTGAAGAATTAGAAAATTAGGAAAAGAAAATAGAATTAGAAAAAGAAACCAGTGCATTATTTCAGATAAAAGTCATTGTCCAGGCACCAACACATAGCGTAATGGCTACGTCACTGGACTCCCATGTAGTCAGCCATGATTCAGGTCCCGGACCTGGGAGCTTAAAACTCAAGCTGAAGGAACCAGCAGGTGACATGGTGGTTAAGGTGCTGGACACTCCCACATGACTCACCATGGTTCAAGTCCTAGACCTGACAGCTTGCTTTCTCACTTTCTCTCTCTCCCTCTCTCTTTCTCTGTGTGTGTGTGTATGTGTCTCCGGTCAAATTAAAATAAAATTAATAAATAAATAAAATTAAATACATAATTATTAAAAAACAAAACAAAACTCAAGCTGAGTGCCTGTGCCTAAGATTCTGAGAGCAGAAAGGAGGAGAAGGTATGGTGTGGCCATTCCCCCTGGGGGGTGATTTCTTGCTTTCTGTCTCTCTGTTGTTCCAGCAATCTCACAGGCCCAATAGCAAAAATCTCTCTTAAAAAAAATCATTGTCCCTGTAGAAATACCAAACTAACTGATATGAAATTATCGAAATTAATAAAAATTTTGGGGGGACAAGAAGGAAATACAGAAAACAGTTACCTTTCCATACTCTAGTACAAAAGTATTAGAAACATTCTGCATACAAATGCTATATATATATATATACACAAAAATATAGTCTTTTTCCAGGTCACTAAGAATACATGTAGTAAAAAAATGAACAAAATCTTTATGAAGAAAATTGAAAAACTTCATACAAATATTTGAAAGGCCTAAATGACTGCAGTAGTACAGTGGCTATGGTGTGGAAAACCCACTGTCACAAGTACACAATTCTCCCCTACAGAGCTATTAAATTAAATGTAATTCCAACCAAGGACTCAAGAGACTTTTCTTATGGAACTTGACAAGCTGATGTGGAAATTTATATGAAAGCTCAAAGGCTTGAGAATAGCCTCAAGCTCTCCCCAAGATCAAGAGGCAGGGAGGAATCCACCACCCCTATAATTAAGTTGTCAGAA